TGTTCCAGTAGATGGCTTGGGTATAGGCACAATTTTAATGTCCTTCCAAACGGCTGGCACGACATTTCTGGAAAAAGATTCGTTAAATTTGTCCATGAGAGGATAACACAGGATGCCTGCACATTTTTTTAACACTAGACAAATCGTCTGGACCCAGGTTACAAGAAGGGTTCAGAGACTGGAGACATTTTTGAACATCATTTGTATTGAAACCAGGGAAGCAGGTTTCATTGACACTTGTAACACTAGAAAGTTAGGCATTTGTGGGATAATATATGAAAGACTTGTTTAGTGGGCAAACATTAAGGGAATAAGGAATACTGTTCATCTGCTTACCAACGGTAATTTCTTTGAAAAGTTTCCATATATTAGACGCATTTTTACAGGATATAAACTTTTGTTTGTCAATTGAATTCAACCTGTGCATTTCAGATTTTGTTAGGATGTTAATTCTTTTCAAACCAGTATTATCCTTCATTTTATATAGCTTTTCCTTTTGCCTGAGAAGCTTTCTAAGTTGAGGGGAGGAGAAACGATCAAATCTGATGAAGAGCGTTTCCCTGGGACAACAGGTGTCAAGACAAAATTTGAGATAACTTGTAATATTAGAGATTGTGTCATCAAGAGAGTCTTCATTAAACAGGTCCCACCTTGTGTCTTTGACCATGTCCCTAAGATTCTGAACATTCTCCATAGAGTAACATCCATGTACAGTTTTCTTGGAAAGGTGTGAAAAAGTTCGCTTGTGTAACTTTCCATAAATTTTAGGTAAAACCCGTACAATACAATGATCTGAGTTAAAAAGTGGGGCTCTTTTACTTATTTTACTTATTTTTACTATAAAAACATCTTATCTCCCATCTTATTGTATTTCATTGATAACACTAATAATACTATTTCGGAATGTACTTTAACTTAATGTTGACTTTATTCAAATGTCTAACCACTTTTTGCTCATGTGTACAAATGAAGTTAGAAAGTTGTGTATGAGTGCCTTGATATGATTCTGAGCAATAACTTGTGCTCGAAACGTCATCAGTAAATATTACTGTATAACACGCTGTGACTTATGAAGATAAAATCTTGTCCATAATAGGGTAGTTTTCCTTATTCTTTTCATTTGCAAGTGTATTTATTAGTTCGGCTATCACTGTCTCTATTCTCTTTGGTGTGACAAATATTAATATTGCCCTTAATATGGCATTATTCTTTATGTCTTCAAGCTGTAATCAAAAATAAAAAATAAAATAAAAAATAATGTCGAAAATTCCGCAGAGTTTTGATAACTCCATTCCCAGTACCTTTTACTCAATTTATAGTAATGACCGGTAACTTACTGAATGCTTATTAGATGACTTAATCATATCACTTTTGTTCGCTTTGTGTTCGCACACCTATTGTCATAGATCATTACTCAGCCAATGCTTTCTCAGCTTCAGGTCGCAATCGAATTCGGCAAACATGCAGAACTGGGTTAATCTTATTGTAATTTCTTATTCGTGTTGTATTTGAAATTAACCAATTACCTCTAATTATCATAAAAACTCGGTACGATAACTATATGACTAAAAGAGAATTCATTGAAAGAAATACTCCTCTCTTATATGTATGTGATTCTTGTTTCACCATACAACAATGTTGGAGCGCACTATTATTGTTATTATTCCTCTCTTGGGTTCCTAGTGAAACATAGGCTTCAACTGCACGTCTCCACTTGCTTCTGTCTTTTGCTGCACTTTTCGCCTGCATCCATGTTAGTCCATCTCTTTCAACTCCTCTTCACACGATCTCCTCCATGTCACCCTTGGACGTCCCACACGCCGCTTCCCTTTCGGGTTCCACTCGAGGGCCCGACGCGCGATGTCACTAACCGGTCTCCTCAGCGAGTGTCCGATCCATCTCCACTTTCTCCTGCATATTTGTTGGGCGATTGGTTCTTGCTTTGTTTGTTCCCATAATTCCTTGTTGGTGATTCTTTCCGGCCATCTGATCTTCAGTATTGAGCGAAGACAGTTGTTAATAAAGGTCTGCAACAGGCTGTTGGAAATATTCTTTGTGACCCGCCCGCCAAGTTTCTGATCCGTATAGAAGAACTGACTTGACGTTTGTATTGAAAATCCGAATTTTGTTGTTGATGCTGAGTGACGAAGATTTCCAGATTGATTTCAGGTTGATGATGAATGTGTTTCTCGCCTTCCCGATTCTCGATTTGACATCCTCGTCCATTCCGACTGCCTGTAGTTGAGACAATGCTCCCTAGATAAGTGAATGAAGTAACCTCTTTCAAATCCCTCCCGTTGATGGTGATTGACGTTGGATGTTGCTGCTGTTGTTGTTGGTTGGTTATTTTCATAACCTCCGTCTTGTCTATGTTCACCTGGAGTCCTGTCTTCGCCGACTGCTTCTTCGACCAGTTTGTCGGTTTTCGCTTGTAAGTCTTCGATTGTGTGTGACATCAAACATAAATCATCCACGCGCGAAATCCAGGTCTTCTAGGTTCTTCACGTCGGTCCAGGATATCTCTGTCTTCTCGTTTCCCACTCACTGTCTGACGCATAATCCAGTCAGTCACCACAATTAGGAATATCATTGGTGATAATAAGCACCCTTGTCTGACTCCTGTGTTTACTCCAAACGCCTCGCTGAATTTTCCGTTGTGGATCACTTGACATGTGCCGTTGTCGTACAGCTGTTGAATAAGGTTGATGAATATTTGGGGCACGCCGTAGTACTCGAGTAATTTCCAAATTACTTCACGATCAACGCTGTCGAAGGCCTTCTCAAAGTCTATAAAGTTGAGGTAGAGGTTTGATTGCCATTCCATGCTTTGTTCTGTGATGATGATGCGTAGAGTTGCAATTTGGTCAGTACATGATTTGCCTTTCCTGAATCCAGCTTGTTCTGGTCGGAGTTCTGTCTCCAGTGCGTCCTTTAATCTCTCCAGGATGATGCGACTCAGGATTTTACTTGGCGTCGATAGGAGCATGATTCCTCGCCAGTTCTTGCAGATGGGCCTAAGTCGCCCTTCTTTGGTAGTTTCACGAGGTAACCTTTCCTCCAGTCAGTAGGCACCTTTCCCTCCTTCCAGACCTTTTGCAATAATGGAGTCAGCATGTCTGCTGTAGTCTCTGGGTCTGCTTTCAGTGCTTCAGGGGGTATTCCATCTGGTCCGGCTGCTTTTCCAGCTTTCAGAAGCTTGATTGCATTCAAGACTTCAGCTCTCGTTGGAGGATTGGTGTCAACTTGCAGTTGTGTGCGCGCTGTTGTTGGTATTTCTGGACGGGTTGCAGGTGATGGTCGGTTCAAGAGTCCTTTGAAGTGATCCGCCCATTGTTTAATCTGTTTTTCTTCCTTGGTAATTGGGTTCCCTTGGCTGTCTTTTATAGGTTTCGCTTGTGTTGATCTCTTCCCGGATAGAGATTTGGTTATCTGATATAGTGTCCTCAGGTCCCTTTTGCCTGCTGCCTTTTCAGCTTCAGTGGCGAGGTTGTCGTAGAATCGTCTTTTGTCCTTCCTAGCACTCTTCTTCACTTCTTTGTCCAATGCTTTGTAAGTTGAGCTCATCGTCTCCTTCTCCTGTCCGTCCTTGCATTGAATCATTTTCTCTTTCACCATTCTCCTCTCTTCTATTAATTTCCAAGTGTCCGTTGAGAGCCATTCCTTGTCTTGTCTCTTCTTTCTTCCTAGAACCGTTGAACACGTTTCGTTGAGAATCGCCTTCAGAGACTTCCAATGTTCTTCCACGCATGATTCTTCAGTGATGTCGCGTAGTGTTTCCTGCTTTGCTCTGACAGTTGCAGTGAAGTGTCTTTTGTGGTTGTGTCCTTCAGTAATTGAGTGTTGAACTTGCATTGTGGCCTATCCCCAGCTATCCTCGAGGCTTTTAGTTTCACCTTGAAAGTCCCTTGTACTAGATAGTGGTCTGAACCCACATCTGCTCCTCTCCTTGACCTTGTGTCCAGTAGGCTCCGTCTCCACTTTCTTGAAATTGAGATGAAGTCTATTTGATTCTTGGTGTTTCCATCTGGTGAAATCCATGTCGTCTTGTGTATATCCTTGTGTTTGAACACACTACCGCCAATCACCAAATCATTGAAGGCGCAGAAGTCTGAGAAGAGTTCACCATTGTCGTTCATTTCACCGAGGGCCTCACGACCCATGGTGAGTTCTCTTCCTGTGTTGTCTCCTCCCAGCTTCGCATTCATGTCGCCCATCAGGATTTTGATATCGCCATTTGGGACGTTGTCCATTATTGCTTGTAGTTGTCTGTAGAACGCCTCCTTCTTCTCTTGTTCTGAGACGTTTGTAGGCGCATAGCATTGAATGACTGTAACTTTCCTTCCTTTTGAGTTGAACCTGGCTGTCATTATCCTGGAGGAGATTGGTTCCCACTGCATGAGAGCTTTGGTTGCTGTTGGTGACATCATGATGGCCACTCCCTCGGTGTGCTCATGGTTGTCCTCTGGTGGCCGGAATAGATTACTGTCTCTCCAGTAGGTAGTTGGCACCTTCCAGTTCCGTTCCATCTGCTCTCGCAGATTCCCAACACTTCTATTCTGTACCTTCTCATTTCAGCGGCTATCTGGGCAGCCTTTCCAGTTTCGTACATTGTACGAACATTCCAGGTACCCATCCTTACTTTTGCTTTCATCGAAAGAAGGCACATCGGCTGACTGGCTTCCCGAAGGCTTTCACCAGCCTGCGTCATTTCACTTCCCCGATTCCAGCGAAAAGTAAGGCTATTGCTTATGTTTTTAGAATTTTTAATATATTTATTCGTTGAAGTTTCTGTAGCGATTTGGTTGTTTTACATGGGTGGAGTTGCTAGCACCACGCCTCAACCCTCCCTCTTTACCCGGCCTTGGGACCGGTGAGAAAACTAGTAAGCTGGTAGCCTAGCAAGCTAGTATCTGGTGAGGCGCACTGATTTATTGAAATTATTCATCTGGTCTGTTGATTATATTCAGCTTCTATCACATGCTATCATTTTCATTCCCCAGAAGCTTATTCGGAATAAACAAAGTTACGAAGAACAAATGCAAAAAATCGGTGAATTATTTCAATCAGATGTCAACAATTTAAAGAAATTGCTGAATGTAAGCTGTCCCTTTTATTTATTCATAAAAAAAATGATGATTAAATATTTTAGTCACTGGAATACGAACTTTATGGTGGGCTTTTTTTTACTGAGGGAGAATACATGACATGAAGTCCTAATAAGTTGTCCCTTGTTTATACCAATGCACAACTTCTTCTTCATTCATCATTAGTGCAACTACCAGAGTCTATTCGAGTTTGAGAAACTGGTCGGACATACATTTTAGAGGAGAACTGGAATTCCAGTAAGCTTCAAATTAGAAACCTTCAGTTTACTTGCTTAAAACTTCAGTGACTAGAAGATTCAGCTGCTGAATTTTGCAACCGAATTCTAAAATTCCTTTCAGTCACTGACTTTTCAACTCTCACTAAAACTCAATGTTCCATTTCACATTGGTCATTACTCCATCTGAATATTGATTAGTTAACTTGAAAATGGTTTTTAACATTAATGAAATATTGATAAGTTGACGATGTTTAATTATTCATAGAAAATTCCCATTGGAACATACAGAAAATCAAAACAAGTGCTTCAGCAAAGAGACTTTTTTCAACGGATTTATTGCCAAGCCGTACAGTCGTATGTATATGGTTTTTAAGACATTATATCCGGTGAGGGAATTGAATCATAGTTATGAATACACCAAATAATAAATGTACGAAATGCAATTAAAATTAAAATGTTAGTGATTATAATCATAATTAAATGTCAAATAACAAAACAGTGAATGTCGTCACTTCGACTTTCTGTGTGAAAAACCACACGATCTTTCGTGTGTTCCATGCACTTGGTTAGTAGAAAATGAGTGAAATTATATGTGTCCTCGTATGCTACATAGTCTGTCGCACAGCACATCTGAAATAAGCTCACTATTTTCGGGCGAATTAATGACAACCAGCCTTAATTTATCAACTTATGAATGAACACATCGCAATGTAAATTGTACTTCTGAGTTGGAAATCACGTCTGTATATCAGGAACTCAAGAATGATGTCCATATACACTTGAGAATCATGAGTAACAGCCTTTTAAATACTTCATTTATTGCATTTCATGGAAATGATTTCGTCATCCTATGTACAAGACACTTCAGTCAATGAGAAATTTGCGCGAATCCCAATGGAAACTGCACTTCACGTCGGTCAGTAGCAAATGGCAATAGTTACTGATGTAAGAATGGAAGTGGGGTACTGTGGGAGAGTATAATCGAATAATGGAATAATTTCAATTGAAATGACGCTGCATGATACATTATTAATAATAATACAGGAAATTACATATTCAGATGGCTTTATCTACTCTCACTCCACCTTAATAACAATATTTAAATGTTTTGTCAACAATTTCTTCAGGAACTGTGCACTCAACTTGAAATTCAATCTTTAAATCTAAATCAACTTGGGAAATGGTTGAAAGCTACTCAAGGATGGATACGGATTCGAAAGTATATCTATCAACAAAAGTATATAAGTTGGAAAATGGAATTAATGCAAACTTATTATCATGTAAGTTTTATCATTTTTAAAGTGAATTATGCAGGAATGATACCAAAGCTAAACACCTGAATATTGATTGAATAGAAACCACCAGTTGGAGGGTTGCTGACCTGCTTAACCAGCTTACCCAACTGTTTAAACTGTCATTAAAATAAGAGCACGGACGAGTTAAATATTTTAAGATCAATTATCTTAGATTATAAATGACTTAGTCACTGACTGATTGGTGTACTTCTATACCCTAGTAAGCAACTGCCTACAACTGATTGAGTTATCATCTACGAATGACTGGTATCACAGTATTTAGTTCCAAGTGGTGCTTTTTAACATCCCTCAATTTTCTTATGTGATCACCAAAGCTAACGACTACTGGCCACATTATGCATTACGCATAGGTTACACATCCCATGTCACTGGTGGCTAAAACGTATTTATAACATATGGATAACTAATCTTGCCATATATGTCTGAACGCATGTCAGTCAACGAAGCATTCAGTTGTTTTATAACTGAGCTAGTCTACGGATAGTGATCACCATTACTTAACTGATAATAAATTATGTTCTTTTCTTCAGGTAGTATATGAACACTATGGGAACTAATTAAGAAGAAAATCCTCCATGTAAGAAGAAAGAAACAGACCCCGATGATTTTGGATGATGCAGTTTCATTTTGAAGTATTGGTTTTGTAGGGATTTTGTTTGATTGGAGGGAGGAAATCCTGGGAGTACTGGACAGCTGTTTCGTCCTAGTTTGGGACTCTTCATCAGTACGCACCCACACCACGGGGTTCGAGACCAGGATCTTCTGGTTACAAGGCCAGCGAGCTCGTAGACCATTGAGCCACTAGGACCCGATCCAACGGCCCATGAATCCTAACTTCAGCCAATTCACGACATAGCGCGAACGACTCACAATGTTTTATTCAATGAGTTACTGCCTCGTCTTCAACCTGCCGTACCTTACTGGTCACGGCTTCCCAATAGAACCCTAGGTCACTGTCTGAACAGGGCCAGTCGCTAGTGAGCAGTTGCATTTCCTAATTTGGTTATTCTTCACGCAAATTAGTTACATTTTTGTTGTAATGAGACGTTCCTGAATAAACTATGTTATGAACTCTGGCTAGTACATCGACAAGATATTTGTGAAAGTAATTTGTCTGTTTACTCAGAGCAAGTTTCCCGCAGATTTTAGCCACAGAAAACGAAATCCTGTTTAAATTTCAGGCATCCATATCTATTTGATCCTTTGATGAGTGCTAATCTAGACATCTACTGTCTCTTCTAATGCTTATGTACATATGAAATGCTTTAGTGGCATGTACCAAGCACTTGCAAGTCACGAGACATTTATCAACAAGTTTTCAGCAATCGCTGTTCTCTATTCAATGAAAAAGAGAACCAGTTAGTATCGGCTTAATGCTCCAAATTATAACCTTGAATCTAAAAACGGAATATTCACAAACAAAACAAACATTTATATCACTTCAGTTTTAGCCACATCGAAGAAAAAGAAACGTAGTAAAAAGTACCGAAGAACGAAGTTAACAAGTGATAAGTGAAATTATGTATGACAACTATAAACGAATTCTACTTATTTTATTAAATCACAACAAATAGCCATTTTTCATTGTATTGAAGATGGCAGAAAGACAGTTTAAAACTAAAGAGACCTAAGCAGCTCCAAGTCTTTTCGACACTAAATCTAGAAATAATTAAGATTATAGAGACAATGGAAAGCTTCTCAAATAAACCATGCAGTTCGGAGAACATAACCACACCAATATCGTTCACCTGAGCTACTGAATTTACTAGTTGTAGTAAGCACAGGGGCATTAAAAGCATTGAAGGAATTAAAGGGAAGCTACAATATATGGACTTACACATAGTTTATGGTTTAGTTATTGGCTTCCTGTCATCCAAAACAGTCAGTTCACATTGCATTAGATTAAATCAACTCGAAAGTGTGTAAGATCCTTAAAGAAGACACAAACTTTCATTGGATCAGAAGCTGGAAAAGCCTCTAAAAATGCTCTTCAGAAATCATACCGTAGGGAATTATTTCAGAAGTGTAAGATTGAAAAAATACGACGCTACGGCTTATATTTTTCCGTAAAACATTCGATTCACTGAATTCAAGAACAACGCCACAACAAAATTCCTGAACAACCAAGTATCTGAGGCAGTCACAGAGACAGTATGAAGTCGGCGGGGAAGATTTGTAATAGAGGTGTTCGGTATTGGCGTAGTTGTGTTCTCCGTGCTTGCGAGGGTATCAATATCATTCTAAGAAACAACTGCACCAACACTTTTAAGCGAGACGAAATTAGATATCTCAAAATAAATCTCTGGAGTTCTTTCGCCTTGATTCTTTTTGACTTAAACTAGTATGCCAGGCTTACAAAAAAGCTATATTTTAATTCATACTGCATACTACTTCTTATGAACCATTTTAGATCCAAACTGTTGATTCATGCAAAGAATTTGTTAGGGTTATCTTCGGGAATGAAGCAGCGAATTATCCTATATGGAAAAAAAGCCAACATCAGTCCATGGAAAAAACTAGATTTAATCTATGGAAAACTGAGCGATCATGGCTACAGTATAGACGTGAAATAATGGAAGCACAATTAAGTATTAAGTCCAAAGATGAAATAAACCGCATCGAGAATGAATTAAGAAGTCGTGAGGCAATTAAAAGAACTTCTAGTCATCATTCTAACAAAATAAAGGATAAAAAAGACAGATTTCTTGATGAGACAACATCACGGATAGTACCAAATAGTGAATTACTGAAGTATCCTTATAGTTACAACCATCCATTACATATACATGAACAACAGTTGATAAAAACACAAAATCATTTGAAAGTTGAACAGCTATCAACACAGAATAAAATAAGATTAAAACAAGGGGAGCTGAATTCAATATTGTAAGTTCTTGATTGTTATAATCTGTTATATTGATATCAGTAATCGACAATTTTCACATCACTATAAAGGCATACTGATTAAGCATAAACATTGTGCTTAAATAATACACTTCGTCACTGGACAGTTATATTTAATTTCCAGCTTAAAACATCCTTTTTAAGTATGTTAAGGCTAGTTTTCTTTAATTTTAAGAGCTAAACAAGGAAACTGAATAGCAAAATTTTCGAGAATAGTTAGCAAGATTGCTTTGCGACTTCATATGCTTTTAAAAGAATTACTATAATTGTGAGCAGGTTGCGAAAATGAAGGTAAACCTTTGGATTACACCTATAAAATTCAAACACCCATTTCCAAACGTACGATGAACGTTCACTTTATGTTGAACAAGGAGTTTCTTGGACGAATATACCGTTTGTGATAAATTCCACCCCTTCCCTTATTAGACAACATTTTTATGGAAAATTACCAAAGTATTTGATTGAAGGGGTTGTTGAATAAACTTGAATATTATTTGCTTTATGTAATCGATATGTTTATCGTCTGAGATAAGATCTAATCAAAGTATTCTGTAACATATGCCCAGCTATTAAATACACTCGCGAAGAAGAATATTAAGATGGCATTTGCGTTTTGGGTATCCTTCTTACTAAGCGGATGGTCGGCTTGAATAGAAGAAACATCTATAAGAAAACTTCGTGAAACAGACAACTCATCCATTTCCACAGTTTCGCACCTATACAGCACAAATGAAGTTTATTTTATTGCGTTAGTCGCAGATTTAGATGCATATTTCTCGGTGACTGTATCGAATATTAAATAGATAATCTAAATAGTACCTCGCTACAAAATGGTTATCATATATATGCAAAGACCAGGCGATTTTCACTAAGTTTATCTTGTCTTCATTACTTAGTTACTGTTCACTATATGGCTACCGAACTTTCTCATCACTATTGTTGTTTGTTATCCCACGAACTTATATTGAGGTTACCCTGTATGTTTGTCTATATTTTTAAAGAATTCATATTTTCACACACCAGTCAATATGACATATATAGGTCATTTAATTGCTTAATCTACATTATATATGCATTTAAATGATAGTCAGATTTAATACTCTGTTAGTGCGTCTTGTACTTATATCCCTATACAGTTCCTGATATAATTTTACTTTGCATTTACTGGCCGTAGATTCATAACTACAAAGTTTAATGAACAAGTTTCTGAAAACAGTTGTCCGCTCTAAGTATTACTGTCCTGAGTAGCTGACGAAGATATTCAAATTACCACAAACCATAGAAAAAATTGTGGAATTGGAAGGAATTGAGGAATGCTATGTAATATATCATTCAATACCTTCATCCTGAGGTGCTGCACAAAAACATGTATTAAAAATGGTTTGGTATAGCATACTTTACAGAACTATTTTAGCTTAGAACGGTTAAAATTTTTGAATAATTTCCAAATAAAAACGTTTACAACAGTTGATGTTAATTTTGGCTTTATTTTTATAGGAATTACGTTAAAGTGGTAAAATGTCAAATAGCAAGTCACTACATCATATGTACAAAGGTTAATTTAAATGAACTGGAAAAAAGAAGGCGCATGCTAACTGAAGTAAGTTTAACTGTTTATGCAGAACCAAACAAAAGAACATACATTTGGAACAAGTAACTTGTTTGGGAAGCACTTTAAAATTTCTACCTTATTAGTTGTTACAGTTTATTAGTTTTCTATTAGCTTCGATGTAATTTCAGCAGCATTTCTATTTAAAATGACGTTGATCCAAAGATCATATGGACACAAGTGCTAAAGATCACGGCGCACTATCTGTATTTGGTAGGTGTGTAGACATAATCTTTTTAAATTAAAATATGAACTGGAAATCTTTTCAACCAGGAGAAACAATATCGTTTATTAAGCAGTTTGTCAATAACTCGAGAATTGATTTAGAAAACAAACAACCAAGTTGTACACTGATAAATTTAATTTAAAACACATTTCTTGTTTTGAAAACTTATAGCTTCTAATATTGTTGGATGAATTACGAAAAACTGCAGCTGCTGAAATGGACAATTTAACCAAAGAAAGGACAAATTCATTTGCGATGAGAAGTAAGCTGGAAAAAGAATTGAAACATTTACAAGTCTGTCAGCGTATTAACGCACAGAATCGATTCAGCTATTTCTGCTATAGATATAACCTACCTTTATGTAAATTGTAATATTAAACAGTAACTCGATTCAAATAAATCGTTTCATCATTATTTTATATTATAAAAGACATTAGAACCTAAAACATACCCTTACACAGATCATAGAAATCTCTACTTATTAAGTTAATTCGAAGCAGAAATAGGCTTTTACCAATCACTCGATTTTGTGGTGGCTACAAGAACACCAATTCTTCAACAATCCATTTACAGCATATATGCCATTTTGCTGGAGCTGAAGCAAAATGTACTGATTATGATGAAGAATAAGCTATACCTTCAGCAACACAAGGAAATAAGAACCAAAATAAATAAATACAATAATATAATACTTGTTGATACAAGTATAAAACTTGGGCACTGTGGTAGAGTATAACTCCATCATATCTTATGATTATGACCAATAATTTTTGCTCGAAGCGTCATCAATTAATATTACTGTACAACACTGTATGATTTATCAAAATAAAATTCCATCAATAATGTCACCGAATATTTGCTTGTAGACTGTTAGATTGCTCACAGATGCATATGATAGCTGAAGTTTCGTTTCAAAGAGTATGTTCATCTCCCATTTTGTGTCTACACTGTGCTGATTACGAGGCACATTGAGACAGTCGTATGTGTTGAAAGAATGTCTCCTAGTCACCACAAGGATGATCTATAGGGAAATCATAAAATGTGAGATAGATGAACTCATCCTGGTGACTGTAGGTCATGGCATTTAGAGATTTATTGATATTTATGACACTGTTCTTCAACCTTCTCCCAACTCTAACCATAATCCCAACTTTATAGGGTTATGATTATAACCTTAAACTTTAGTCTTAAAATTCATAACGCTATCCCAAAGTATTGATTTTCAGGAAAAGTACCTAGTAAACAAGTGGGATATTGTATCAACGCTCTGTGCGTCGGTGGTACAGAGGTTAGGACTCTCGCCGACCATGCACATGGTCCGAGGTTCGATCCCCTGCCGACGCACACCTGATATCTATGGTCGGCCTGAAAAATTTGGGCTACCGATATCCATGCTGAAAATTACATACTTGTACCAAAAATACAGTGTGGAATCAAGCTGTAATCGAAAATAAAAATAAATACAGGTATGATTTGATGTGAAATGACATTTCATAGCACCCCTTGTATCTAATTGGGTCGAAGTTAATGTATCTTAACCAATAATAAGGTCTTTCAAAAGCTGACCTTTAAGATGCACCTGAAGCGGAAGTGCGTAACATAATGCAACGTCAAAAAGTGGTTATGCAGGTTAAATTCCTCGTATATGCTCCAAGAAAAAGCTACCACTTTCTCGTAGGAATTCTCATAATTAGGTTTAACGAATTTCAGTGTATGAATTCCCCGGGATAACTGTGAATCATTCACCGCTCTGATTCTAAAAACGTTTCATGAAGCCACAGTAACATTTGTTATTTTTAGAACGATCACATAACTCCATACTTCTCTTTGCTTCTATATGGATTCTGACCACAGCTCACCAATTAAACTGTTCATCCTTGTACGTAACTACAATACATATATTTAACTACTCTTATATGTTGACTCAGATAAATAACTGTGGTTTACGACAACGCATCACCACTACCCTTTAACCAATCTTCACACCCACTCCCTAGTTACAATTTGATTATTCATCACAATAAACCTAACTAATTTTTATTATTATCGAACAAACCTAATGTACACATACACAGAAAAATAAGTATGTATTATTGCGATTGTGCAGCTAGGTGAATGACTTCACCAAAAAGAGACCCTGAGATGAACTATGTGTTTTGTTTTCGCTAACTTCTGGTTAGGAATTATTCACAGGTGACTCTAAACTACAGGAGCCCAAAACACAACTACCAGAAGAACGCATTAATGACCTTGAGAAACCAGACAGATGAGTCCTTAGTATATAGGCGCAATAATGCATACTACACACGAATTATGCATCACAGTTCATCCACAACTGGTATTAAGGTGGCGCTTAGACCACAGGCTCATTCGACTGCGGCCAAAGCTCTCATGCAGTGGGAACCAATCTCCTCCAGGATAATGACAGCCAGGTTCAACTCAAAAGGAAGGAAGGTTACAATCATTCAATGCTATGCGCCTACAAACGTCACAGAACAAGAGAAGAGGGAGGCGTTCTACAGACAACTACAAACAGTAATGGACAACGTCCCAAATGGCGATATCAAAATCCTGACGTGTGATATGAATGCGAAGCTGGGAGGAGACAACACAAGAAGAGAACTCACCATGGGTCGTGAGGCCCTCAGTAAAATGAACGACAATGCTGGGCTCTTCTCAGACTTCTGCGCCTTCAATGATTTGGTGATTGGCGGTAGTGTGTTCAAACACAAGGATATACACAAGACGACATGGATTTCACCAGATGGACACACCAAAACCAGATAGACTTCATTTCAATTTCAAGAAAGTGGAGACGGAGCCTACTGGACACAAGGTCAAGGAGAGGAGCAGATGTGGGTTCAGACCACTATCTAGTACAAGGGGCTTTCAAGGTGAAGCTAAAAGCCTCGAGGATAGCTGGGGATAGGCCACAATGCAAGTTCAACACTCAACTACTGAAGGACACAACCACAAAAGACACCTTCACTGCAACTGTCAGAGCAAAGCAGGAAACACTATGTGACATCACTGAAGAATCATGGGTGGAAGACCACTGGAACTCTCTGAAGGCGATTCTCAACGAAACGTGTTCAACGGTTCTAGGAAGAAAGAAGAGACAAGACAAGGAATGGCTCTCAACGGACACTTGGAAATTAATAGAAGAGAGGAGAATGGTGAAAGAGAAAATGATTCAATGCAAGAACGGACAGGAGAAAGAGACGATGAGCTCAACTTACAAAGCATTGGACAAAGAAGTGAAGAAGAGTGCTAGGAAGGACAAAAGACGATTCTACGACAACCTCGCCACTGAAGCTGAAAAGGCAGCAGGCAAAAGGGACCTGAGGACACTATATCAGACAACCAAATCTCTATCCGGGAAGAGATCAACACAAGCGAAACCTATAAAAGACAGCCAAGGGAACCCAATTTCCAAGGAAGAAAGACAGATTAAACAATGGGCGGATCACTTCAAAGGACTCTTGAACCGACCATCACCTGCAACCCGTCCAGAAATACCAACAACACCACGTACACAACTGCAAGTTGACACCAATCCTCCAACGAGAGCTGAAGTCTTGAATGCAATCAAGCCGCTGAAAGCTGGAAAAGCAGCTGGACCAGATGGAATACCCCCTGAAGCACTGAAAGCAGACCCAGAGACTACAGCAGACATGCTGACTCACTCCATTATTGCAAAAGGTCTGGGAGGAGGGAAAGGTGCCTACTGACTGGAGGAAAGGTTACCTCTTGAAACTACCAAAGAAGGGAGACCAAGGCCCCACTCTGCAAGAACTGGCGAGGAATCATGCTCCTATCGAGGCCAAGTAAAATCCTGAGTCGCATCATCCTGGAGAGAATAAAGGACGCACTGGAGACACAACTCCAACCAGAACAAGCTGGATTCAAGAAAGGTAAATCATGTTCTGACCAAATTGCAACTCTACGCATCATCATCACAGAACAAAGCATGGAATGGAAACCAAACCTCTACCTCAACTTTATAGACTTTGAGAAGGCCTTCGACAGCGTTGATCGTGAAGTAATTTGAAAACTACTCGAGTACTACGGCTTGCAGCGCCCAAATATTCATCTACCTTATTCAACAGCTCTGCGACAACAACGGCACATGTCAAGTGATCCACAACGGAAAATTCAGCGAGGCGTTTGGAGTAAACACAGGAGTCAGACAAGGGTGCTTATTATCACCAATGATATTCCTAATTGTGGTCGACTGACTGGATTATGCGTCAGACAGTGAGTGGGAAACGAGAAGATAGAGATATCCCGGAACGACGTGAAGAACCTAGAAGACCTGGATTTCGCGCGTCGATGATTTATGTTTGATGTCACACACAATCGAAGACTTACAAGCGAAAACCGACAAACTGGTCGAAGAAGCAGTTGGCGAAGACAGGACTCCAGGTGAACATAGACAAGACGGAGGTTATGAAAATAACCAACCAACAACAACAGCAACAACATCCAACATCGATCACCATCAACGGGAGGGATTTGGAAGAGGTTACTTCATTCACTTATCTACGGAGGGAGCATTGTCTCAACTACAGGCAGTCGGAATGGACGAGGATGTCAAATCGAGGATCGGGAAGGCGAGAAACACATTCATTCATCAACCTGAAACCAATCTGGAAATGTTCGTCACTCAGAATCAACAACAAAATTCCGTCGGATTTTCAATACAAACGTCAAGTCAGTTCTTCTATACAGATTAGAAACCTGGCGGGCGGGTCACAAAGAATATTTCCAACATCCTGCTGCAGGCCTTTGTTAACAACTGTCTTCGCTCAATACTGAAGATCAGATAGCCAGGCCTGAAAGAATCACCAACAAGAAACTATGGGAACAAACACAACAAGAACCAATCACCCAACAAATATGCAGGAGAAAGTGGAGATGGATTGGGCCGGTTAGTGACATCGCGCGTCAGGCCCTCGAGTGGAACCCGAAAGGGAAGCGGCGTGTGGGACGTCCAAGTGTGACCTGGAGGAGATCGTGTGAAGAGGAGTTGAAAGAATATGGATTAACATGGATGCAGGCGAAAAGTGCAGCAAAAGACAGAAGCAAGTGGAGACGTGCAGTTAAAGCCTATGTTTCACTAGGAACCCAAGCGAACAATATTAATTATTATTAACGAACATTATATTTTATACAATCAAACATAGGTGTTTTAAAGTAGTAACGGGTGAAAACGTTTACGAAAATGACTTTATAAATTAGTTTGGAGACATCAAACGGCTGAGACCAAGCTGACTGACATTG